TTATAACATAGATCAAAAGTTTAAAATGTGCCGAAATTTGATGTAAAACGTTTAAAATCTGACTAAAACAACAAATGCTGTATTTTGATTTTATTTTATTTGAAAAACTAAAATGACTAAATAAATGAATGGGATCTGGTGTGACGCGCTATGAACTGAACTCGGAACTCTTCGGATTTATTCGGGTTTGTGACGAAGGCGGAATATTTAAGTAAACCCGTCACATTTTGGACCAGAAAAGGCTGAAGGAGCGGGCCGGGTCGTTGTCTTGGCTCGGTTCGGCCTCAACATTCAATGACAGTAAATAATCGGAACCAGGCTCGGCCGCTGACCTGGGACTCGCTGGCTCCGGGGAGAGTCCAGCTCCACTGCCGGGACCGCCTGAGTCAGTCTGAAGGATCGGCTTAGACGGTTCGCTCTCGGTGCTCTGGTCCTYCGTGGTTCCGACCCAGAATCTGCCACCCGAACGGGAGGCTCGAGCTTCGCCTGGTACCGGTTCATGGTGTCCGGACCACAGACCGTGGGTCCTGTCGGGGAACTCCGCTCAGTTATTGACAGTCCACCGTAGTTTGAACCGTCCCGCCATCTTTTCTCCTTCCCAGAAGTCCCTTCGGTGGTGCGTTCAGGTGCAGCAAAGCTGAGGGACAATCTGTCTGCTGTTTTCTTTTCTTTTCTTTTCTTTTCTTTTCTTTTCTTTTCTTTTCTTTTCTTTTCTTTTCTTTTCTTTTCTTTTGTCTTGTCCATTTTTATCATTTATCATTTAAAAAATGTAAACATGTTTTATTGTACTTAAATCTCAGACCCTATTAATGTTTACAAATACAAAAATAAAACAAATTTAACAAAATATTGTCTCAATTTTTTGATGACTGCGATACGCTGGGATTTACCAGTGAAGGACAAATACAGCATTGTTCTGTTCAGTGGCGCCTGGGGGGGGGGTTGGGGTTAGGGTTACCCAAAAATCACCAAAACTAATATCTATAACAGAAATTATTGATGTGTTTGTAAAAATGACAAATTGAAAACTATGGTAATATAAAGCTATGGATTCACCAACAGATGTTGAATTTGTATCCATCCATACATCCATTTATATGTTCTTCCATCCATCCATCCATCCATCCATTTTCTTCCACCTATCCGGGGTCGGGT